TTTGCAAAGCCGCGTTTGAAATTTGTTTTCAGGACACACAATTTGAAATCCTTACAAAACCTGAAGTTGCTGAAATATTCCCGCATCCACGCAGAGGCGCTCGAGCGATCTCAACATGCGCGCGCGAGAGGTACGTTTTGGTATGATTTTGTGAAAAATAGCGATGCCAGAAACGATGGCGACGACGACGACGGCGCGGCCAGCGACGGCGCCGATGCCGATCACGCCGGCGACGATCACGGCGCCCTCGCGTCGGTGATGAAGGTTTTGGAAGGAACTCGACGCGCGAGGGCGGACGACGCGCAAGAGTGGCCCTCATGGCATTACTGGACCCGGATCGCGCCCCCGCCGCCCCCCCCCCCCCCCCTCAGCAAGCGCGCAAGGGCGCCCGAATGATTTCGACATGCGGCGCGAGACGCCCGCTTGGCATAATTGAATGAACATGTGGAAAACCCGATGGTCCATCTAAGAACCCGCAAGTCCGCGAGCGCAGGCTGGCTTTGAACATTGACGCTGCGAAACCATATGGTTTTACATGATGTCGGGGCACTCAATTTTGACATCCATGCGATACCTGATGTTTCCTGCAAAATTTCGGCGCGCGCGACGACGCGCGCGCGCGCGCTTCGACCCATGCGCTGCAAAGGATTATTCCGAGAGCTCGCGCGCAAGGACGCCCGCGCAATACCGGCGCGCGCGCGAGAGGCCAGTCTGGTAGCGCGCAACGCACATCCCTTATATAACAACCGATGGTGTTCTTGAGAATTCGCGAGACTGCGAGCGCAGGCTTGTTGTGATCATCCTCTCTGGGGAACCATGTGGCGTTGCATATTTCGGGGGCGCTTGCATTTGAAATTATTACCCAAACTTACGTGTTTTAACGATTTCGGCATGCGCGCGCGACGACGCGCGAGTGCAACCCGTCCCATTTGTTTCAAGGGGTCACTGAAAACTGATGAGCTTTGATCAACGATCGGGCGCGATAGCTTTGGCAGAAGATGAAGAATGACAGGGGGGGGGGGGGGGGGGGGGCGATGCCAGCCTGCCTGGGATGGCGCCAGTTCGCACTTAGGATCGACAGCGGGGCAGCATACTATATTAATTTCAATGGGCGAATGGGGGGTCGTTCAGCCCAAGAGAGGGGTCGGTTCTGATGCCCTGTTGAACAGAAAAACATATGATAGGTGGTGTCAGCTACGTGGTGCATTTGATTTTTACAAACGGGTTGACACATTCCGTGCTCTTGCAAATGTCCCACACGCCCACCCACAACTTGGCTTGCAGAACCCATGCGGCAGCGATTGTGGCGACTGCTCGGCGCTGGCTGGCGCATCTCTGCGGCCGCGCAAGCCCGCGCATGCTCTCGCGCGCAGCGGCTGGCTAAATTGACGTGACCGACGCGGCCCCCGTGGCGCTGACCGCTGGGCGCTTCGCAGCGGGTGCGTCAGTTCGGTATCATGGTGGCGCCGACAATGGTGGACATCTTTGCGCGAGTGGCGACGATGGCGACGATGGCGGCGATGCCGACGGGGAAGCCAATAGCGGCGCCGATGCTGATCGCGGCCGCCGACAGCGATGACGTTGTCCTCGCGTCGGCGATGAAGAGTTTGAAGAAGCTTTGCGTTTTCTGGTGCATCTATGCGGCCGCGCTGCGGCGGCGCTAGCCCGCGCGCGCTCGCGCGCGAAGCGGCCGGCTTGTTTGGCCGGACCGACGCAGCCGCGGTGGCGCTCGCCGCTGGACGCTCCCCAGCGGGCGCTTCAGCGCGCGTCGGCGACTCGGGCGGGGAGAAGGAAAGAAGAAGAAGAATAAGAAGAGGAAAAAAAAAAAAAAAGGTAGACGCGATGACGGCACTAGCGATGCGCGCGCGGCCAACGCGAAAGAGTGACGCGCATGGAATTATTTGACGCGGATCACGCCCCCCGCAGCAATGATGTCGACATGCAGCGCGTGTGGCCCGTGCTGTAGAATTTTCTGGACGCGTGAACAACCTGTGATTTCCGCGCAGGCAGTTTTGAAACTTGGCGTTGCAAAACCGCGTTTGAAATTTGTTCCAGGACACGCAATTTGAAATCCCTACAAAACCTGAAGTTGCTGAAATATTCCCGCATCCACGCAGAGGCGCTCGAGCGATCTCAACATGCGCGCGCGAGAGGTACGTTTTGGCATGGTTTTGTGAAAAGGTTCAAGGGCCCACGGTTTTCTGCAGGTCTCGCAAGAGCCCGAGCGCAACTGTCTTTTGTTTGAAAGCCCGCGTTGCGAAACCAAGGGTTATTTGTATGTTGTCGGGGCACCCGATTTTGACATCCGTGCGAAGCCGAAAGTTCATGAAGGATTTCGGCATGCGCGCGCGAGGACGCGCGCGTGAGCACTTCGTCAAATTGTTTGCTAAGGCCTTGTGTACACTGATTACGCAGAAGAAAACCCAATCAGTGGATGGTGTGAAAACTGATGATATGGATATTGAGAACCGATTGTGGGGTCGATAAAGAGGACGACTGTCAGAGCAAGACCGATAGTGGAATCGATTCCATGAGATCGATTGTGAGATCGATCGTGAGATCGATCGTGAAAACGATAGTGGCATCGGTAGTGAAATCGATTTTGGAATCGATCGTGGGATCGATAAAGAAGACGACTGCAAAGTCGATCGCGAGACCGATAATGCAGTCGGTTCAATGAGATCGATAGTGCGAGCGATTGTGAGATCGATAGCGAGATCCATTGTTAGATCGATTGCGAAATCGATTGTGAAATCGATAGAGATCGGACCGATGGCGAGGCCGATCGATGAGAATATCCATCAAAAACCCAGAAACCTGGGAACCCCTCCGCCCACCGAAATCGGCCCGGAACCTGGAACCAAGAACCCGGGAACCCGGGAACCCGGAACCGGGAACCCAGCGTGCGACCAAAATCGGCGGGAAACTTTCGCCAAATCTTTCAACCTCCGCTAGGACCCCTTCAGTGCAAGCACTGATTGGGGAATAACTGTTGATAAACGAGTGCGCGCGCATACCTTTTTTTTGCAGAGAAAGACGGAGGGGGGTGCATTGCACCTGCCTGCCTGGGATAATACGACTTCATAAGTAGGATGGACGATGGGGCAGAATCATGTGTAAACTGCTATACGGAAGAGGGTTACCGTTAAGTCCGGGATGGGGGCGATATATTCTTTTAGATAATACGTCAAATATATTTGTTTGCTGTTTTTGTTTCAAACACACACACACAAAAACAACTCCGACTTGTCAAATCCACTGACCGCGTAATCACCACGCACGCACGCCCACCCGCAGCTTGCTTTGCAAAATCTCTGCGGTCGCGAATGCGATCACTGCTTGGCGCTGGCTGCCGCATCCCTGCGACCGCGCAAGCGTGCGCAGGCTCTCGCGCAGAACGGCCAACTTTTTTGCGGCGACCGACGCTGCCGCGTTGGCGCTAACCGCTTGGAATTTCCCAACGCGTCTCGCAGGCCGCGCTGACACTGGGGCTGCTGGTGGCGAGGATCACGAATCCTCCGGAAGGCAACTCCGACCTATCACAGAGGCACCGACAAGCGCACGCGACGAATGATATCCTGCGCGTTGTGTATAATTGTGGCCCTCGGGTGGCCCTGATTATAAGCCTCTCTGGCTGTATGGAACACCTTGTGTGCAGCAGCCAAGCGGTAAAGCCCTGCGCGAGAAGTGATACCAAGCTTGCTGTCTGTGCAATTCGGGGGCGGCCCGGGCCAACATTCGAAGAGAGCCCAGAATGGCGGGCAAGCAAACATATGGCGCTGATCAGCGATGGGGCGCCCTTAACAGAAGCAGGGATGCCGGATAATTTCATGCATGCGCTTTGTGGTGAACCATCCGTGCATCCAGGTGCGGAGCACTAGAGACGATGGTGGCGAGGATAACGATGACGACGACAGCGCTAATGACGGCACCGATGTTGATCACGCCGGTGACGAATATGGTGTCCATGTGTCGGTGATCGGATTGTTGGAAGGATTTCGACATGCGCGCGCTGCCGACGGGCGCAAGTGGCTTGCATGATACTGTTTGAAAGGATCGTGCCCCCCTCCTCCCCAGCAAGCGCGCAAGGGCGTCACAATGATTTCGGCACACGCGCGCGAAAGGCCCACTTGGTCGAATTTAATGAACATGGCAAAACAAGTTTGGTGTTGTAAAGGTTCGTAAGCGCGCGTAAATGTTCTTGTTTGGAAAATCATGCTTCGAAACCGTGAGTTGTGCTTGAAACTGTTTTCATGGACCTCGATCTTGACACCCCTACAGAAACTCAGGTTGTCGACGGATTCCGGCATGCGCGCGCGACGACGCGCGCGTGTGAACTTGGTCACCTCTGTTGCAAGGGGTTTTTGGGCATTGACGACTTGTGATTTCACATGAAAAATGGACGGTGGGGCAGAACCACATGTAAATTTCAGATTCCAGGGAGGGAGAAAAATCCCACAAGGGGGGGTGGAAGATCCTGATTCTCTTTTGGAGGGAAGGAAGACTCTGTGTGGTGCGATCGACGGGGGCGGCGACGGGGCGGCGACGGCGACAACATAGCCGCCAGACCGGCGGTCACGCCCAAACACTGGGGGGCGACGAAGCGGCGACGGGCCGGCGACGGCGGCCACATAGCCGCCAAACCGACGGTCAGGCCGGGACGGCGGGCAGAGACGAGGCGGCGATGGCGACAACATAGTCGCCAGACCGACGGTCAGGCCCACACAACGGGTGGCGACGAGGACGCGACGGGGCCGACGGGCGGCGACGATGCGGCGACGGGGCGGCGACGGCGACAACATAGCCACCAGACCCCGACGGTCAGGCCCAGTTCCTTAGTCCATCAATAAGAAGCCCTAAGTGCAAACACTGCCTGGGAATCGATGTACCGCGCATCCTACTGCCTGCATGGCCTTTCACCCCCTACACTTGTCCTCTCTCTTCCACCCTCCCTCTCTCAGCGTGAGTGGAGGGCCCCCGCTGCAGCAAACCCCCAGTGCCGTCTTCGTCACAGAAGACCCAGCCGGGTAGGAGTGCTCGAGGGGCGAGCACAGGACGACGGACCCAAAGGCCAGGATGGTCCTGGGCAGGAGGAGGAGAATTCGGAGGAGGAGGAGGAGGAGGAGGAGGAGGAAGAGGCAGCTTGGATCGAAGGTCACACTTTCTGGATGTTGTTGGGCTTTCGGGGCCTCTGGATGGCATCCTTGTCGCCACGACTGGATCCGCCTCGGAATTCTGGTAAGAACGCGCCCAGGACAGGTCGAGCCGAGTTGTGATGGAAGAGACGGTGACGGAGGTGGAAGTGGAGGAGGAAGATGAGGAGGCAGAGAAACAGAAGGATGAGTGGGAGGAGCAGGCGGAGCCAGAGGGGAATGATGAGCAAACGAATCCAACGAGCGCACCTCGCGGTCCCAAAGCGAGCCGCTACAACTCAGAAGAGGACCAATGCGCCGCCGCGGTGCTGCGGGGAGCCGTGAACTCCTCCCCATCGTCCGATTACCCCTCTCATCCTGATCCTCCTGACCCTCCTCCTCACCATTCTCCCACTCTTCCGACTCCCCCTCCCAATCCAACCTTTTCAACTCCCCCTCGCCTCCCCTCCTCCCCCGCCGACCCGTCCTGGTTTCTGAAAGGCCGCCACCCGTGATCCGTACCCTGTCACCGAAGGTCAGCTGGTCCTCCGACTCCACGCGCACGACGTTGGAGCCCGCTTCGGGGGACGCGGGGGCTGCCCTCCGCTCCTCCTGCCAGTCCTCGGCATTTTCCGTCGCTTCCTGTTGCTCCAGCTGTCCCCAAGCCTTCGCCTTCACTCCTCCCACTCTCCCACCCTCACTCCCTCCCTCCCTGCCCCTTCCCCCCTCCCTCCTCGACGGGCAGGTCAGGCGGGGGCGCTCCAAAGGGCGGGTCGGGCACCGGGGTCGCACTACGCCACCGGATGGTTCCCGCGCAGACGCCACGGGCCTTTACCCCTGCGCGCTGGCGGGGGGCCCGTCGCTACCGCGAGGCTGGACTGAGTGCTCTGCGCAGGGGGGCGTGAGGCCAAACGGGAACAGGCGGAAGAAAATAAATACTGGCGGTCTTGCCGGCAGAGACTCGGCTGAAGACGCCGGATTTCAAACGCTGACCCCTCTCAACTCAAAAGAGTCATCGCAAAGGTAATGCGGGTGGCCCACACGGAGAGAACAAAAACTGAACCGTGACAACTGAAATGAACAATTCTGGGATCTTCTGACCCGGGTTGATCCAGACCCAGGTCAATCAGGCCTTGCAGAATCCTGCAAGATCCTGCAAGCTCCTGCACCCAAGCCTGGGTCAATACGAAGGATCCTGCAAGATCCTGCAGGATCCTGCGCCCGAACCTGGGTCAATGCGACCCTGTCCCTGCAGGATCCTGCAAGACCGGGAGCTCTGGCTGACCCGTCTGCATTGACCCCCGTCTCAAGGCTCCCGAACAATTCTGCTTCGAACCTCTCCAGCCGTGTACGGCCCACACGGAGGAACAAACACGCAAACGTGATACATTTAATGAACAATTCCGATTCGAACGATTCTGGCCCTGAGCGGCCCACGCACACGGAGGGCAAAACAATTAGCCTGGCGAAGGACCCAACCATATGCAATGGTGAATACCGTCGTTGTAATTATGGGGCCACGTAGCGCGTGAACAATGTGCCGAAATGGGGCGGGGCCGCCATGCGGGCGCTGCTGTTGGAGCCTGATGTAGAGCCCTTTTTATGGGGCCACAAAAACGTGTGACTGTGCCGGAGTGGGGCGGGGACGCCATGCGGGCGCTGCCAGTGGGGCCTTCGGTGAAGCTCCGTATGGGGCCATGAAACGTGCGAGGGGCGAGCTGCGATGATGGCGATGATAATAACGATGCGCAGGACCTTAGGTGGAACTCCCTATGGTCCCTATGGGGCCACGAAGCGTGTGAGCGGCGTGCCAAAATTAAGCGGCGCCGCCATGCTGACTGCGCCACTGGGACCTTAGGTGGGGCTGCTTATGGAGCCACGAAGCGTGGGAGCGGTGTGCCAAAATGGGGCGGCGCCGCCATGCGGACTGCGCCACTGGGACCCTAGGGGAGTCCCGATGGGGCCACGGAACGGTTGAGGGGTGTGCCAAAATGGGGCGGCGCCGCCATGCGGACTGCGCCACTGGGACCTTAGGTGGAGCTCTCTGAGGCCACGAAGCGTGTGAGCGGTGTGCCAAAATCGAGCGGCGCCGCCATCAGACTGCGCCAATGTGACCTTCGATGGAGCTCCCTATGAGGCCACGAAACGTGTGAAGGGTGTGCCAAACTTGGGCGGCGCCGCCATGCTGACTGCGCCACTGGGACCTTAGGTGGAACTCCCTATTGGGCCACGGAACGGGTGAGGGGTGTGCCAAGATAGGGCGGCGCCGCCATGCGGACTGCGCCACTGGGGCCTTAGGTGGGGCTCCTCGTGGGGCCACGAAACGTGTGAGGGGTGTGCCAAGAGGGAGGGAGGGAGGAGCAGAGGAGGAGAAGAGAGGAGAGGAGAGGAGGAACGCGGGAACCGTCTCCTCAAAACGAAGACCCAACACCACAAGATGGTTGGGAAAAACGTGACACATTTAATAACGAATTCTGCTTCGAACCGTTCCAGCCCTGAGCGGCTTACACGGAAAGAAGAAACACAAACGTGACAAATGAACTGAAAAAGTCTGCTTCGAACCCCACGGAAACCCACCGAAGGCCCCAGAAGCGGCGTTCGCATAGAGCCCCACCGACCATTTCGGCACACCACTCACAGGCTTCGTGGCCCCCAAAGAGATTCACCGAAGGCCCCAGTGGCAGCGTCCGCATACACCCCCCCGACCATTTCGGCACACCCCTCACACGCTTCGTGGCCCCCAAGGAGCTCCACCGAAGGCCCCACTGGCAGCGCTCGCATACCGCACCCCGACCATGTCGGCACATCCCTCACAGGTTTCGTGGCCCCCAGGGAACCCCACCGAAGGCCCCAGTGGCAGCGTTCGCATACCCACCCGATCATTTCGACACACTCCTCACACGCTTCGTGGCCCCTAGGGAGCCCCACCGAAGGCCCCAGGGGCAGCGTTCGCGTACCACCCCCCGACCATTTCGGTACACCCCTCACACGTCTCGTGCCCCCCAGGGGCTCCACCAGAAAACCCTGCGGCAACGTTCGCAGATCGCCTTCCGACCGTTTCCCACACACCCCTCACACGCTTCGGGGCACCATAGCCAGGTGCCTTGCGAATCTTTCAGGTTTACTGCCGCTCCCTCCACGTATTCGCGTTTACGTATTGAGCGGCCCTGCTTACAGTCACCTCGTGTTTAAAGAAAGGGGGTGGGTTCTTCACCAGGCTAAGTTTGTCTCTCTCTCTCTCTCTCTCTCTCTCCCTCTCTCTTTATTCCGCTCTACGCCACGAGCAGAAAATCGAGGGAGGTCCGCGCCTGCCATACAACAACATGTCTGATTCATGACTAGGGGGAGTTGCAGTGCTCATACATGCAAACATACGCATACAAACGCACGTATGGATATACCATAAGGTATGTGTATGTATAAATAGAAATGTATTCATATCTTTGCAAGCTTACATACATAGTAGCATGAACACCTCTCCGACGGAACAGAGTTAAGAGGCGATTGCTGTGTCGTTTGCGATTGGTCTCGCCGTTTCGCTCGAAAACATCCTCAGAGCTCTGAACATCGGAAGCGCTCCCCCCCGCGCAGATCGCGGCGCCACGGTCCCAACACACAGCCTTCCTCCACAACTTTATTAAAACAACCTTCAAACAACACACCCGGTTTCAATTATTGTGCACACGAATGCCGCAAACAAAATTTTGACCTGAGCCCCGACGCACAACACACATACCATACACAACACAAGTCACACACAGGACACGCACGCACACACAAAGCACGACCTGAACACACCCAGAGCACGCACACACAACACCTACAACACCCAGAATCCACAGCACAAGACACACACGTGTCATACACGCAACACGCACACACAAACACACCACACGCAACACACCACACCACACCACTCCCAACACAACGCACAACGAACGATTCACATACAACACACACAACCAGCCAACACATAACACACAACACACAAGACACCCACCACACACTCACAACTTCCAAACCCAACACGCATCACACACAGACACACTGTGCACAACGTGTTGCATGAGCTTGGGCATGCACGTGTCAGGTGTATACACCTGAAGGTATGTGTTTCCATTGTGTGGGACAGAAGCAACGTGCATATATGTGTGCATGCACATGTGCACTAGTTACACATATGCTGCGCACGCGTGCGTACAATCGTACAGCGTACACGGCTACACTACAACTACGCTGTGTTGTATGGGAGGCTGGAATGTGTCATCCATCCATTCTCCCCTTCAGCCTCCTGCCAAACTGGGATCACGGGACAGACGCGACATGAATCCAAACTGCGATGTTCGAAACACAGGCCTGGTGCCTCGTCGACCAGCACAGTCGTCACATTCTCCTGGCCGGTTCGCCATGGGGACAAGGGGCGCACAACAAGGAGAAATGGGGGACACGAGAAAATATAGTGGGCAGAAAAGGATGGGCGAGGGGATAACTCGCGAAAGTCCACGTGACATGATCCGAAGCCAAATAAGCCAGGATGCGGAGGCAGGAGGGGCGGGGCGGGGGTAACCGCCAAGGGTCTGTAAGAAACACCTTTCTCGTAGTGTATTGTCTGCGCGAGCCCTGGCAGAGTGGGACCGAAAACGAAACTGGAAAACTATGTCATCCTCCTCCGCGGCCGATGCTGAAAGTCCTTCGGATTCGTAGGGCCCTTAAGGCCTCCGACGAATTCGAATGATTATCAGGATTCTCGTGGGAATGATTCCAACAACTCCAAGAGATTCGTCACGATAGAACTCCTAAGAATCCTTGGGAATTCGACGGATTCCGTGAGATTCGTAAAGAGTTCAAGGACTCCCTTTGGATTCCGATGTGCTCCAAGAGATTCGTGGGATTCCTCAGGATTCAACACATGAGGATCAAGACGTCGACCGCGACGACGACCGTGAACGACCCAAAAGTGTGGCGAGCTCTTACTGCGCACGGTTAGCTGCGCGATCCCCATATGCAAATGACGACAACGATCGCGACGGCGCGACGAAGACAACGCGCCGACTCGATTGGAGATATAGCAACTTAACTTGCAATCCTTGCACAAAGAAGCACATGTAACATCCATCTGTCGTGCAAGGTAGACCAGAAAACGAACTCCGTCATAAGAAATAACCACCCAACACCAACCCACAGGCAAACAAAAGGGCGAACATTACCAACGGCGACTGCCAGCGCCTACACAGGGAAACTCTCGGTCACTACTTCTAGAAAAAGGGTCACGGTGTAGATACCACGAAGACATTTTGAAAACGACTACCGATATCACTAGTACAAGTAAGAGTACAACTACTACTAGGGCTGAGCGTGGTCTGTTAGCAGGATTGAGTGACTGGCAAAGGATAAGGCTAAGGGTCAGGGCGCTCTTGATCAGCAGCGCGCGCGAAAAACAAAAACAGTTGCATTGATTGCCACCCCAAGTCGCCAATGAAAATGCAGCGCCTTCTGTGTTCAGACAAAGCCAAGGATCTCCATTGAATCCCAATAGGGCCCATGAAGAAAACGGAACGCTCCCCGATTTCAGGAGAAAAAACACTGTTGCGCATTGACTTCCCACAGTAAGGAAAAATAAAAAAGCCTGCAACCCCCAACGAAGGACTGCTTTGTAGTGAATTCTGAACAGAATACATCGAGGAAATGAAGCGCCTCGAGATTTCAGAGACATTTGTTCTTTTGTATTGAACTTCCAAACAAGAGCTCATCCAAAACGTGGAGCGTTTCCTAATTCCAGAGGAGGCGGTTGTGTGGTATGTTTATATATATATATATAAAGGCGATCTTTAAGGAATTGGCTTCCACACTCCTACCGAACCCAAAGAACTTCCAGGAATACTTCGGGCCCCCCGTGAAACTTGATGCTCTCTGGGATTCCTGAGGAAAACATGTGGGAACTCTGGAGTCTGCAAGAACCCTGAGGATCCATGCGTGGTATTCAAATACCCACAGGAACTCTGACGAGCCCTGAGGACCCCCGAAGAATCTGGACAGAATCTTGAAGATCCCGCGGGGTCCAAAAACATCCTCAGCAATTGCTGCGGCATCCAAAAGAGGCGTGAGAGTCGCGAAAGAACCGCTAATGAATCCTGAAGAATCTTACGGGATCATCAGAGAGAGCCCGGTAAATCTTGACGAAGCCCGAAGAATCCTGAGGGTCCTGCGCATTCCTGTGGAGCCCACTAGAATCGTGACGGACCCTGGGACATCCAGAAACACCCTGGTGAATCCTGCAGAATCCTTCGGGTCTTATGGGATGCAAAAAGAAAGCCGCGGAATCCTGAAAGATTCCTCCTCCGGGAACATAGTCCACGCTCTGCCCTGTTTCTAGGACGACGACGACGGCGACGATAATGACGACGACGACTACTACTAGTTACTACCACCACCACCACCACCAGCACCACCACTACCACCACCACCACAACTGGGACGATTACGACGACTACTCCTCCTACTGCTACTACTACTACTGCTACTACCACTACTAATACTTATACTACGCACTACTACTGCTACTACTACTACTACTACTACTACTACTACTACTACTAGAACTAGTACTAGTACTAGTACTAGTACTACTACTACTGCTACTACTACTACTACTACTACTAGTACTACTACTACGACTACATATACTACTACTAGTAAACCAACTACTACTACTACTGCTACTACTACTACTACTACTACTACCACTACCACTACTACGACCTACTACTACCACCACCACCACTACTTCTACTACTACTACTACTACTACTACTACTACTACTTCTACTACGAGTGCGACTACTACTACCATTACTACTACTACTACTACTACTACTGCTACTACTACTACTACTACTACTACTACTACTACTACTACTACTACGACTACACCTACTACTACCAATACTACTGGAACCACTATTATTACTACTACTACTACTACTACTCCTACTACGACTATAACTGCGACTACTGCTACTACGACTACTAGTACTACTACTGCAATGCGACTACTACTCGTCTTACTACTAGAATACTACTACTACTACTACTACTACTACCACTACTACTACTACTACTACTACTACTACTGCTTCAACGACGACTACTACTACTACCACCAGCACTACGACTGCCTCTACTACGACTACGACTACAACTATTACCCGTACCGCGAGTACGACTATTACTAGTATTACTACTACGACTACGACTAGAACCACTAGACCTACTGCGACTACAACTACGACGACGACGACTACTACTACTACTACTACTACACCTGCGACTACGACTACGACTACTACTACTACTACTACTCTACTACTA